ATATGGCTACAGTAATAACTTTCAGTTGTGCACAAATGTGGTTACCAGCAATTCATCATGTTATACAGGTACCAACAGTACTAAAGTTACTATTAGCTATACTGTATGTTTCACATTAATAAAAAATGTAACTTCCATAATATATATTGTATGCTACCAGCACTAGGCAAATCCAAAGTTTTTCATACTTAGTATACTTACTCTGTTCGAGGTGGATGAGCTGCTCCATAAACGGGTCTTATGCTATAGAACAAAAGAACAGAGTTAAAACTAATGTCACAGTGAACTGGTATACTTTGTTAGATATTAAAAAGCGTCTTTATTCACTAGTGTTAAATTTTTTTTTTCTTAAACAATGTAGGCAGTAATAAGTTACTGATGCAGAGAAAGTCATAACAATGAACATTTCTGTCTTAACCAGGAAGTCACTGTAGGTAAACAATAAAACTGACATGTACACGTGCTAATACTGTGTCAGTCAAAACAATAACAGCATGTAAGTTAATTCTAGAAGTACATTCATGCCTTCACAGTGTGTCTTAAAACAAGTCAGGTGTTAAAAAAAGTCTTGTAAAGGTATCTGTACAATACAATTAACAAAATATAACCACGAATATCAACTGGTAAATATTTCTAGTTCATCTTAAATTTCCTATTTCATTCACAGTTATGACCAATAAATAAAAAATTTTTCCCTCAAATTTTTTTAGTATTATTTTTATTATTTGAAAAGTTTCAGTATGTAAAGTACAATTAAAAAATATTTGACATTAAGTCTCAGATGAAACATGCAACTTCCATTCATTTTGTAACAACAGTAGTATAAATATTTAGTACCTTACACTTTTTAACAGCATAGTTTGTTTTAAACTTTTAACAACAGTATTTTAAGATCATAAGTATTTAGTTTTGTCTCAAGGACACTTAATGTATCAGCAGTCAGAAAATGACTGAGGAATGAAACAAAGTGTAAATGATGTCCTTCACTGGTTGGAGACTTGGCACTTATCCAAAAATTAACCACTTTTTAAAATATTTTTTTGGTTTGATATAAAGTACTTTACTCACAACTAATCAACTAAAACATTAATATTATATTAAATTTCAGCACCAATTAACATCATACCAACTGTAAGTAGTTTCATTAACAAAATATAACCAAAACTATTATTTACCAAAAATAATTTCTAGTTTAGCTTACAATCTAGTAAAAAAAAAACAACAACAAAGAATAGCTTAAGCCTCTATGTCATTCATGGATTATTTCTTTTCTTCACTAAAGTTACATATTTTGGCAAAGAAAATAACATTTCACAGTTTACTTTTTTATTTTTTAATATTTTGTAAATATAACTAAATGAATGGTCTAGTCAAATAGTAGATTCCTTGGAGTAGAATATTACTTATTTATAGTATTTCTCCTTTATTCTTGGTTACTATCCAGAATCTAATGTTTAATTATCTTTCTTCTTTCTATCTACACTGGGGCATTCTCAGTTTGTCCTGACATCCCTCAAAATAGCATTGATAAAATTTTAAATATTCAAGTTGGTCATGTTTCTTAAAAAAAAAAAAAGAGGCTGCAAGTACAAGAGGTTGGCTGAGAAAGGGTATAAGGGATAAAATAAAAAAAAACATTATATATTTAAGAAGTCTAAACTGACTGCAATAACAGGAGATCAAAAGGATTATAGAAGATCAAGAGAAGAAATCAAAATGGCTATATAGAAAAAGGTTGTCTGAGGATGTAAAAACAGTAAAGACTTCTTTAAATACATTATGAGTAAAAAAATGTTGGGATGGGAATAGTATAGGTAATCAGTATAGTTAATTAAATACACTCTTCCTACATTTCTGCTTATAAAGATTAGGATGCATTATTTCATCAATTGGGTACTGTCACTGTTAATGATATTTTAGGCTGTAATGTGTCCTTCTTGAGTTTAATAAGTTTAGTCTTTAGTTGATTTTTTTGTCATTGATCACTTCATTAGTTTTTGATCCATTCCTTGTAATCATGATTTTTTAGCTTTTGACAGAATTCACTTCTTCCTGTTTCCTGTCAGTGAGTCTTAAAGCTTCAGTTTTTTTATCTAGTTTTTAAATCTTATTTATTTTTCTCATTTTTCTTTGGTAAGTTGAAAAGGAGTTTAGCATTAATTTTGTTCTTCTTAATTAAATTGTACTTAATTTCCAAAGCATACAGCACAGAGTCTTGTTTTTAATATATATTTTTTTATTGTTACATGTTAGTGTAAATAGTTGATAATTTGCAGTGTAGATATGCTTCAGACATCAATAACTTTAATTTTAGCCTTATAAAACTAGTGTTCCATCACTAAAAATACAGATATGTAAAGAGTATCATTATAACTTAACTTAGCAGAAGTTGGTGTGGCTGACATCACAAAATAAAATGTTCATATTATATTTACTTTGCATAAAGAACAACAGGCATTAAATTATGTTACAAATTGCTTGAAAACAAAAATATATTGCAATGACTAAATGATTTATATACTTGGATAAAAAAATTTACTAAATTCTATACTTCATACGTGTATACAAAGAAAAGAAAACTACGACTATGTACAACATATACGGCTCTAGAAGCATATTTTTTTAACAATACCTTCCAGGTACATTCCTTAAATTCTTCTTCCAAAATGCACTTCTACCATCATTTGTCGTCGTATTTTCAGTTCCTTGCATAATTTGGCAAGGTAACCTAAAAAATATGGGGGATCTGGAGGAGTAATTTTTGAAAACTTACGTAACATGGTACGCAATTTGAATGACATTTCATCATTTATTTAAGTTCAAATAATACTGAATGATCAAAATTTATTGTTTTATTTTTTCATCTTTGCACTCATTATTTTGTAATTACATGAAAATGAAATGAATTGCAAGTTAAGCTAATATGGTGATAAAATACTAAAGAGCTCATTATACATATTGCAAGTTTTATTGAATTAATAGTTTTATTTGTATTTTTTGTTTGTTAGATCTAAAATTTAAAATGAATTCTTAACCAAGAAAGTAATCTTTAGTTATTTGACATTTCTACTTGTGCATTCTTTACAAAACATGTTTGTATGCTTTCACTAGATTCTTACTAAATCTGAATGTAATGTTCAAATCTTCATACTGATGGCATGTTATAAACACTGTGCATGATAATACATAGATTTATAACAAAAACTACATGAGAATTACTTTCATTTACAATTTACATTACAAAAATAAATATATTTTACATCAATTGATTAAACAAATTTCCTTCCATAAATAAAACTTATCACAGTAATGATCAGCCAATACTAACTTGAAATGGATATATATATATATAATCCATTTAACAAAAAGTAACCCTAAAACATAGACACAAGTTTCTCAATTAATTCAAATCAACTTCACTAATGCACTTGCAAATGTAAAAGTTTAACATCACACAACTAGAGGGGCACTCAATAGAGTGCATACCTCCACCACACAGCATTGATCACATCCTGCCCTCAATAAATACAAAAATGTGTTGGAATGTCCATCATTTTTCGCAGGACAATGAGGAATAATATTCTACATATGTACACCAAGTTTTATCAAAATCTGATCACTTTTAACTTGGTTACAGAGCAAAAATAATGTGAAAAATTGGTCACCTTGTTAACAGATAGAGATTTTGGATTTTTGTGACCTCGATCTTCAACTATTCTAAAACTAATCACTTCTAAGTTGAGTCATAGTCCAAATGTATACCAACTTTTGTCCAAATCCATTCAGCCATTTTCAAGAAATCTTGCTGACAAACACACAGACACACACATTTGTGAAAACATAACCTCTGTCATCTTCAATGGTGGAGGTAATAAAGATAGAAATGAGCAACATACATACAGATACGAAAATAAAGGAACCAAGTATTCTGATTGCTTGACCCTCCCTCATATTGATAATGTTAAAGTATAAAAAGTTTGTGTGTATGTGTATATGTGTGTGTGTAGACATGTACATACACAACAAATAATTATAAATGTAAACACAGTTATGTACAAAATGTCTAACAACCAACAATAATCTCATAGTTACATTAGTGTTATCAACACTGTGGCTTCCCTTTAATTGTTGAAATATTTCAACCAAAGATATCACATTTATTTTAACTGCAAAAGTTCTAGAAGTTCTATTAAATAACAGAGAGTCTAATGTAGCATAATGCATATTTTTTTACACCCACGTTTCCCTTCAATTTCCTTAAATTACCTAAAAAATCTGACTGTCATCTACTAAATGTTCAGTGTGATTTGAGTAGCCTTTTGGGTTATTATAATGCATATACACTTTTCAACTATTGAAGATATACTATTAGTAATACTATGATGTTATATTAATTTGTTTAATTATGCAGGTTTTTTAACACTTATTTAATTAACTCAATCAAAATTGTTAAACATTCTAGCTATGAATATCCCGGTTAAATTATTTTTCAATATACTAGCATGTTATCTAATGAATTAGTCTAAAAACAGAGAAAATTAGACCACAGCACTAGTACTAGTAGTAGTAGTACTAGGTTTGACTTCGAGTTGTAACATTCGGCATGAATCTATACTTCATTTTAAAATATTAAATTGAAAACATTATTGAGAAATTAACTGTATTTGAAGATTCAGATTAAATATCGTTGTAAATCTACAGTAACTTCATCAATCCTAATATGCTAAGTTAAGTTATAGTACTGAGCTTACAAGTTACATTACGTTACTTACCGGTGCAGTGGTCCTACTCGCACAGCCACTGCCAACTCAGTCGAGAACAAACTTATTTATACTTTAGCTATTAACAGTAAGTTAACACACTTCCTATTAAATTTTGGCCTTTATGTCATCCTTCCAATATTATTTTTGCATAACTTGCCTTTTATTTAAACAGAGGTACTTATTTTTAAAGTAACTCCAGGGTATGTTTTACAAAATAAAAACAACACTGACTTTTTGAAGTAATCGTAGACTGAAAATCACAGAAAACACATCACAACATTCCACCATCTTGAATACTCTCAATCATAAAGCGCCCTCTTCACTTAGAAAATAAAATGTAAATACTGAATAGCAGCAGATTATTATTCAAGGGAAGGAAAAGAAAAGGGACACAGGCAAGGTGTGAATGATAAACTTAATGACATTAAAGTTATAGGCATGTGGATAGGATAGACTGTGGGGTAAATAATTAGATTATGCTACCCAGGGACACAGGTGGAGGATATAACTGACAGAGCAAGAGGTATAATAAAGGGTAATCGTTTGTTTTGAATTTCGCGCAAAGCTACACGAGGGCTAGCAGTCCCTAATTTAGCAGTGAAAGACTAGATGGAAGGTAGCTAGTCATCATCACCCACCGCCAACTCTTGGGCTACTCTTTTACAACGAATAGTGGGATTGACCGTTCCATTAGAACGTCCTTACGGCTGAAAGGGCGAGCATGTTTGGAAGAATGGAGATTCGAACTCACAACCCTCAGACAGCTAGTCAAGTGTCGTAACCATCTGGTCTAAAGAGGGCTAGCAATGATGAAGTTTTTGTTGCACACGTAGAAAAAGTAGGTCAAAGGAGCCAATTGAAAAGTACAAGTTATTGATAAAGCCATTTTAAGAAAATGGCCGTAACTTAATTATGTAAGGGATACTGCCGAAATTAATTGTGTGGGTGAAATTATAAGTAGGTCACTAGACTAGGGCTGAATGCTAGGCTTAGAATGTAAGAATGAACAGACTGGCTGTTTGGACTTGTGGGATCAGTTTAATGGGAGAAGGGGGCTTTTTTGGAATGGATGGTTTACATTTAAACAGGGTAGGGGCTGGATTGTTCACAAAAGCTATTAACTCAGCTGTTATGGAAGTCTTTTCTTAAATAAAACTAGTTTATTCTTTCCCAATTCAACTTTGCAATACACTTAATTTCCACAGTCACTTTAACTTAAACACACGCTATAATTCACAACGAATGATTCACGCACTTTACTTACAGTGCCTACCGCCCGCTTGACTCAACTATTCGTGTCTCTATCTTCAATCTCTCAATCTGCTACTCCAGTTCCGAATGACTGTCTCCTTTATTTGGCGCGCTTGTATACAATAAAAGCGCACGCATAACACGCACTAGTCTCTTCGCCAATTTTCTGGACACTATCACGTGTTATCAGAGTCACGTGACTTCCGCTGTCGTAACACTATTGTAATGTTAGATGTATAAGAAATAAAATAGGTGACTTTAGAGCTCTTGTAGGAATGTAGGATTTTTATACAATGGTAATAACTGAAGCATGGGTTAAATGTAGACGATTTTGATTACAGAAATTTCTTTGAAATACGGGGTTAAAAATTATTTAATAGGGATAGAGTACTAAAGATAGGGAAGGAGTGGCTTAATATGTAAAATGTGAGTTATATCCTGTTGAAGTTGAGGATATCAAAGATAATAATAATAATAAGGAGATTGAATCCATTTGGGTTTCTATTAGTGAATAAAAAGGGAAAAAGCTTTTAGTGGAAATTTGTTACAGACAACGAAATGGTCCCGATGAAATTACTGAGAAAATTTACAGTGAGATTAAGGTTTCTTCCGTTAATGAGGTCATAGTTATGGGTGATTTTAATTTCAGGCTTATACATTGGAAAATGTTAGAGTCAAACCATGAGGGATAAAGGTTTTTGAAAAGTGTTCAACATGATTTTCTTCACCAATTGATCAAGGAACATACTAGAAACAATACTATTTTAGAGTTACTGTTAACTACTATTATATAAATTGTTGAGCGGTTGGAAATTGAGGAACATCTGGGTGCAAGTTATCATTGTTTTATTAGGTTCGATGTTTTGCTGCATATGAAGATCAGGAATAATGACATTTTGGTTACAAATTTCAAAAAGGCCCGGCTAGTATGTAACCAACAACGTCATGGATCCACAAGCATTTGCGTGTATAAATTATTTAGCAAAATATATGGCCCGGCATGACCA